TCCAATGAATTTTTTTTGCTACAATCATCAGTAAATTAAAAAAAAAAAAAAACAATAATCCAACAATTGGAGATATTTAAAAAACTGGGAAGAGAAATGAATTTTTGATAGAGGACAGGAATGATTGGAGAATAGGAGAAGCTGGCCACATTGTTATAGAGACAGAAAGCGATGACCGTAGAGAAAGGGTTAGACTAGGTCTGATGTTCATAGGGAGTCATCGATACCATCACGATCGATACCCCCTTCATCACAACCACAGTAAACTCAACAAGAAATACTTGTAAGAGATTGCACAGAGCTTGAGGCAAATTTTCATCACATTTTCTATTCGTCAATTAAGTACCGTGATGACTTTGCCACCACTTATGGACGTAATCATCGACGATGAATTATTAAACACTTTTCCCACACCTGTAATGATGTGACAGTGAGTGTCGGGGAGACTTTAATTGACGTTCTGATAACTCAATGACTTCTTCATTATTAATAAAGTTGAATAATTCAAACGAATTGAACACAGGTTTTGCTTTTCGATCTGGCTGTACGTTAAGGCTTTTTCTAGCTCGAGCAGTTTTTCTATTAAGCTTCATTTATTTCTTTCATTGCGTAATATACCGGACGCGTCGGTCATTTCATCCTACTATCCGGTTGGAAGGTTGTTTAAGGTCTCTCTCGATGATAAATCTGATGAAAAAATTTGTCTGATTCTATTGATAAATAAAGCACCGGAAGTAATTGTGTAACTAACGTGATGGATAAATTTAGCTTGGACAAGCACCCTTATTACGCTCTATCTTACCCTTTTGAAGCAGTTCCGACAATGTCCGCTAGACGTCAGCTTGATACGGGGGTTGTTTGATGCAGGGTTGAATAACCATGAGGCAACTTCACATGTTCAGAAAAGGAACAATTAAACGCTCTTAAAATGTTTATCTAAAAATCAACAGGCCTAGTTTTAATGCAAATAAGTAGAAATTTTAACCCTTTGGCTTTGTAATTCGCAATACACCAGCCAGCAAAAGGAGGACAATCAAAAGGGCCGCTTTGAAATGGGAAAAAGAAGGGCCTGAAGATAAATGTCTTCCTCGTAGCGGCCAGTCGCTTGAATATCGGTACGATCTGGCAGACTCTGGCCCAACTGGCCTTTCTTTACGTGCACCTTACACTTGCTAAAGTTAGAAGTAAGTGTACTTATATTTGAATGTACTTGATAGGGTTTGTTGCGCACCAAGTCCAGCTGCCGATCGTGATCAGTGATCAGGTGGTAGAGAATTGGTGGATTGGGATCTTGTAAAAGCCACCCACTATCCGGCTGACTCGATTCTCACCTGTTTTTCTTGGGCCCCATGACTCTATGTGTCTTTACTACTACTATACAGAGCTGCTCATTTGTAATTTAAAAAGGGCCCTGTGTACTTATTTTAAACATACACCTACGTATCCTTCCTCTCTGCAGGAATCCTGGCCGGATGTACAATTACTCGTGCTTATTGTATCATACAAAAAAGTCTTGAAGGTTTGTTTATTATACATATATTTTTTTTTACACTTGTTTGTGTATTAAATATTTTTCAAAGTCCATCTTCTCTGAGAAAAGACTACTTTGATCAATGAAAGCTTGGGTGGTCATTGGCGGAAGTCAAGTAATGAAAAAAACTATGCTTTAACGCGCCGTCTCGTTAGAGAAGAATGGAGGTGGGATTTTTTTTTCTCGCTGGCTCATTGGTTAATTTTTTTACGCTCTAAAGAGTCGCACCCTCCCACTGAGTCACTTCGCGCTTGACCCGACCATCCCTTTTTTGCGTCTTTTTATAGTCAACCTATTTGTACACCTGGAAAAGGCTAAAAAGTACAAAGAAAGTTTAAGAAGAGAAGAGCAAAAGAAATCCTTTAGTATCACACGTGGCTGGCACGTGGAAGAAAAAAGAATTTTTAAAACTCTGTATCTCATAGAGATAAAAATCTAATATAGACTATGATGATTAAAATAAGAAAAATATTTGCAAGCAGAATAGAGCAATATTTGATAGTCGTTTATTGGCAAAACACAGAGATAAATGACTAACAGCGTGGTGGGAGTATTAGACGAAGGGATGATATTGAGTTGATGGAGGGAGAATATCCTCAGAACTTCTCTTGAATGCGTAAGACAACAAGATGACCATCAACAATTAACTACTCCAAAACCTCGAATACTCCAATTTGAACATCGATTGGTTATCAATCAATTTTTTTCGTAAAAATTTGATTCATGTTTGCTTAGAGGGTGAATTATTGAGATATAAATACAAGTGAAAGAAAAAATAGGCGTGATAGTAGGAGGGTTAAAAAAGTACGACTCCGTCCTTTTTCAGTCTTTTTAGTCCTCCTTCACAGCAGTTAGTCACGCATGTGTTGGCATACGGGGCACGCGGCATAAAAATGGTGTTCCCTTTGTCATGACTCCCTCCTTCTTTTTATTATACCTCTTGCTATGCCACCCCCTTTTGTGAAACAGAAGGGCCCGAACTTTTTCCAGTTGGAAATAACCATTGACCATGAGCACACGCATTTATTTTTGAGTAAAAAGAAAGTGTAGTGTTTTGTGGTTGATTTCATAGATACTTATATGTGAGTAAAAAAAAAGAAAGTGATTTTGATCTTTTTAAGAATCAAAATCTGAGAAAAAAATTGTTTCAAGTGAAACGTAAACAAAAACATTAAAGACTTTTAAAATCAATAAATGACTTATATATGCAGAGTAACTATCTAAAGAAAGTAACAGTTGAGTAATACGTTCAGTATAGTAGAGAGATGATATGAGGGTGAATGGTGACCAGTAGATCGATGTATAGTTAATTTTTGAAAGATAGCAAGATTAGTATAAGTGATAAGTAGAGAAGTAAAATTCTTCATCTCTCTTATTATAGGGGTAGTTAGATTCTCCTAAAAGACCCCACTACACTTTCCTCATCATCCCCTTAGATATTTCCCCTGCTTACGAGACTGCTAGAGCTTTTCTGCTCTCCCTTATCCCCCCACCTACGCATAGGGTGAAAGGAATAAGAGAGGGAGACGACTCAAGCTTTCGACGACGCCGTTGAGAAGCGCGCGCGTACGTAGTGGGGGCAAAGGAAAAGAGGGGTGACGTGAAAACTCCTGTCCGCCGGCTGGACGTCAGTTTTTCGTACGTAGAGCCTCGAATTTTCGACGGAGGAGGAACCGTGACTTATCCGCGGTCATCCTCGGGTCCATCTTCAGGACCCGGGTGTTAAGAACGACGTTTCGATGTCAAGTTGATACCTTAGAATCGTCAAGAAAAGGTTCTAAGGAAGTACGAAGTCGAGTCAGAAATTTCGCGACCGCGCACCACCTAAGACAACGCCCCTACCTCGCTCGCGTTCTTTAAGGCACGGGGGGTGGCTTTTAGTCAGACGCACGCGGTCTGAGACGCGCGCCACCACCGGCCACGGAGAAGGACTTAGCATTTCTCACGAGCCGCAGACTCGAGTCAGTTTGGTTCCTCCTCCGTCAAGGACTCGTACACGGAAGAGGAAGACGCGTCTTCTCCCTTATTATTTTTTCGCGCCTAGTTTCTATTCGCACTCTTGAACTCAGTGCATCAGTGATCACCATCAAGGCTTTATCTGAATCCTTTCGTACGTGCCTCAAGTTAATTATGCTATACATTCTATATTACCTTCATCTTAATCTTAAGACATCGTGAGGTGTTTTTCCAAATCTGTGGTTTTCTTAATTCAACTACTTTTATTCTTCACATTGCCATATGGGAACTTGGAATTTTCTACACTCTTACTACTTATTCATGAGCTAAGAAATTCATGAAGAAACAACTTGGAACTGTGTACTGTGTCACAATCAACCCTTATTTATATTTTCATCAGATAACTTCCTTCAACTTCTTATTGATGTAACACTTCATCACTAAATCAAAGCTGGGATGTCTTTTAAGGATATCAGCTTCTTGATCAATTCACTTTTGATTTATTTTCTTTATCCCCACCATTACTCAAAGCTTCACATGCCGGTGAGAGCCGTCATGTGGTTGTCAGTACTCAAGCGCCCGAATCACGTCAACCAAGATTCACCAGCTCACCGACCCACATGTCCTCATGACATTCTGAATGACAATTAGGGTTGACAACATCTTAAACCGGTCTCAGGAAGCGGGAAGTGAAAGTTACTGTTGTCTACAAAACAATTGTATTCCAGTGAAAAGAATGTCATATATATTATTATATTTTAATTCAAATTTAAACTACTACTATTTTTCTTTTTTTATTTTTTGTTTAAAAAAAAACAAAACATTCTTTTAATTTTCATTAAACTTGAAATAAAACACTGACAGTACATGTAATAACTTTTAACATCATTTTAAAAAAAAAAAGAAAAAGAAATAAAAGTGCAAGAGTTTGTTTTTCATTTCCGTCAACGTCGTCCCGACGATGACAAGAAGTGAGCGTTTTTCCAAGATCAAGCCTCGATACGTTGTTGGATAGACGGTTAAAATAACATAGCTGGCATGAGCCAATTCTCAACTTTTTTTCCTTTATTCCTTCACGTTTATTCTCCCTCTCATGTGGTTCGTAACAGGTTGAGAAAGGGAAGAGTGAAAGCTATGTTACCCTGTCGCAAGTAATTCTTTGCGTGATTTCCCCCTTTTTTTTGTAGTCTTCCTATTCTCATTCTTTTTTTTTATATCACGTACCCTTTTGATTGACGCGGTGCGACGGCACAAGTTACTCTTGATTTCTCACTCAGGAAATTATTCTAGTATCTTGAAAACATCACAAGTGATTGCATGATTATTATTTTTTAATTTAAAAATAAAATTAACATTCAAAACTTATTAAATAGTATGAAAAAAGAATTTATTTATCATAAATAGTGATTTTTGTTGTGAATGATTTTGATATGTATACAAGTGTATGTAGGTATATATGATTTGAGATAGATTGTTGACAAAATTTTAAAATATCATTCAATTTATTTTTCAGCTTCGAGCGGGAGACGCATTGCAGCGAGAGATTCCCGCGCAGGAGAGGAAGACTGGACAAAGCGGAAGAAGCAGAATAAATTGAAAGAAGTGAAGAAAAGGAGTGGAGTAAGAGGAAGAAAGAAATATTTAGCTCAGTGAAGAAGAAGAGTGAAGAAGGTTTTTGAGTAAAAAAAAAAGTGAAAAGAAAAAGATTGAAAAGATTTTTATTGTCGGGGGCGCGAGAATAGGTGCAAAGAGTGAAAGGAAGAGCGCGAGAATTGAGAGAAAGTGTAAAGAAGTGGAAGAAATCGCGTGTGAAGGAAGAAAATTGAATAAATAAAATTTCTAGTGAATATTTTTTGGATTAAATCTCGGCCCCCAAAAAAGCGAGAGAGCCGCATATACAATATATATTTCAGTGTGTTCAAAAACGAGTGTACCTAAGTGCAATATTACTCTTTAAACGCTAGTAAAGAAAAGCATCAAGATCATTAAAAACAATCGGCTAAAGAATATGCGGTTTAGAATTTCAAGCTAAAGATTTGATAGTGAAGGTGAAGAAGATTATAAAAGGAAATATATCCTCTTAAAAACGCATAGAGTCGCATTTCTCATTCGAGAAGAAGTCGTCGACGGACCTTAGTTTATGACTGTATGAATATAAAACAACTTAATAATCTTTGCAAAAGATTTTACAACAAGAGTGTCGTAAAAAAACATAAAGCTCTCGTCCTGATTACTCGATAAGTTTACACAGGGTAAACGTATGTAAAAATCATAACGTTTATTCTTTATCACACACAACAGACACAACACAAAAAACGGGGCAAAACTCAGGGCAAAACTGGACGTGGGCAAAGTGTGACATCAACAGTGCACTCTTGGAGGTGACTTTTGCCATAAAAAGTCGTGTCCGTAGACTTCTTACTCTCGTTCACACCGTCCGGGCTGGGCAATCCTGAATTTAACTTGAACTTAAGTGTACAATAGACTTTAAGTAGATAGAAAGAAATAGGCTGTCCTTACGCCAAGGACACGCGCGTTGCACATTTACACAAAAAATAATACACGTCGATACATAAAATAGGACAATCTGTGAAGAAAAATAGAAAAGACATAGTACCGAAAATAGTGAAAAAAGTGTGAGGTTGTGCTTAAAAACGCTTGCTTTGATGAGCCAGGAAGACCCGGGAGAGTTAAGAAAGAAGTTAAAACGGGTGGCGAACAAGTGACGTCGCACCCGTGACTTCGTCTGAAGACGAGAATCTGAAGGAGCAAAGGTGGAGCAGTATTCAAGTGGTGAATAGTGATCCGAGGGTGGCTGGTAAGCTGCCCAGGATTAAGTAACACAGAGACGAGCAAGCCGTCGAGCTGGTGCTGCTTACCAGGTGTGCCAAAAAGCGGGCAAGCTGCGCCGGAAGGGGGTAGCTCGGGCTTCGCGAGAAGGCCTCAAGATTTCGGACGCGACGGCGGCCCTGGACCTGCGCGCTCAGACGCAAGCCCAGCCGGAGTTTGTTGGCCTGGAGCAGCAGCACCACCATCAGCAGCAGCACCAGGTCCAAACAAGTCCGGAACAACAGCCACGTCATCCGCTTCATCAGCATCATCATCACCATCTGTCGAATCACCATCACTCTGGCGATTCGGGGGGTGGGCTAGGCGGCGGTGAACCAGGAGGTGTTGTTGGTGCTGTTGGAAGTGGAGAAAATAACGGAGTACAAACTGCTGTTGCAGTTGCAGCAGCCGAAGAGGCTAGAAGATTGCAACAAGAAGAAGACGAAGATATTACAGAAAGAGAGGACGACGAAGACGACGAAGATCCAAGCTCGCCCGAACCGGACCTTGAGCCGGATCCCGGGCCAATGGAAGTCCAAACTTCAGCTGTGTGCGCTGCAGCAGCCAATCTTCATGCTCTCAGACAGCATGTATTTAAAATGTCTGATTATTGGCAACAGCCGCAAAGAGGACCACCACAGCCATCACCAGGACTCCAACCAAGTCCTCTGCAAAATTCTCAGCACCAACAACAGCAGCAGCAACAACAAGCCCAACAGCATAATCAGTCTACCATGCATAGTCCACTTGGACAGCAGCAACAATCGCAGCCTAATAACGGTACTATTCCAAACGCCAATTTAGGACCGAATACCAATCAGATCCAACAACAACATGCCATGGCCATGAGTCAACAAAATTCTCAAGGTGCTCAACATCAAGCATCGTCAGCACCTACGACACCATCTCCCCACGGAGATCATCAAGGTGCTATCACCTCTTCTATGGCTCAAAGCTTACATAATCTTGCTCAAGCCCAACAAACTATGTCTCAGGCCTCAAGTCCATCATTAACTGTTCAAGCAGTCCAAGCAGCTCAAGCTCTTAACCAAAATCTTGGACAGGCATTAAGTCAAGCCTTAACACAAAATATGCAACAAAATCTTGGACAAACTCTTCAGCATAATCTTGCTCAAAGTCTTACACCAAACTTGTCACCACAACAACAACAACAATTACTTAATCAACCACAAAACTTGAGTCAAGCCAGTCAAAGTCTTCAACAAAACATTCAAAATCAAGCTCAGAATCTGAGTCAAACACTTCAACAACAAGCGCAAAATTTATCGCAAAATTTAGGCCAGTCATTAAATCAACAAACGCTTCAACAACAAGCTCAAAATTTGAGTCAAAATCTCCAACAACAAGCGCAAAATCTTCAACAACAAGCATTAAATATGGCAGGAAGTATGACTCAAAATGGATTAGCTGGTATGAATGTTCCTAATCAGCAACAAAACTCACAAAATTCCATGTTGAGTCCTGGCACTGGTAGTCAAGATTCTCATGATGCTACACTCGCTGAAAAACTAGTCAACGAGCTTCAGGTGAGTTACTTATATTTCACTACTACTGACTAACTTATTCAGAAGTCCGTGAAAGTATTAATCTTTAGCAGAAGTAACTAAACAGATACTTTCTCAGTAACAGTATTTTCTATATATTGCAACTTGATTATCAATAGTCTTATTCAATCTTACAATTAATTATTCTTGAAATATTTCTATTATCTAGTATTTAACATTAACAATGAATTACTAATTTATTGAAAAAACAAAGTTTCTAAAAAATATAGATGATTCAATTCTCATTGAGACAATAAAAATATCAATTTATAAAGATAAAAAATTTTCCATTATTGACAAATGTATTTCTCAGTAAAAACAAAAGACATTTGTGATGCGTAGCTTAATTCATACGGAAATATAAAGTATAGAGACTAGTTCAGAAGGATAATTATTAGTCTACAATCGTAAATAAGTGTCTCAAAGCAACGCAAATGTAAGTCCGGCTTTGGAGTAATGTTATAAACCAAACACAGTGTCTAAGTCCGGATCAAAGACGAATATAGTTAGCTTGATATCTATCTACGAGCCTAATACGTGATTTCCTTCTCTTGCTTGTCCAAACGAAGCAAGCTCGTGCTACGGCAGCTGGTCTCGGAGGACCTGGCGGGGGTGGAGGAATGGCCAACATCAACGAACGCACCCTCGAGGAATGCTGGTCCACCTTGCAGCGAGTGAGTTGAATACTCAACCCGCAATTTCTTTTCCTCCGAAATACACACCCACCGTCAACCTCTTGATTTTTTTTCGCACATTCATTTTTCAGTTGAGACTGCCATTTTTTCAATCATTAATAATTAGCGACATTTTATTTTTTCTCCACTATTATTTATGATTATCAAATGATATCTACTCATATACTTATCATCGTTGCTGATAAATATGTATGTATATGGATAAAAAATATATATATATATATTTGCACGAAGCAAACTTCATTGTATACGTAATTCAATTTAACTCGTAATAAATATTTTTTTAGAATTTTTTATTTACGTATTATCCAATATCCTAGCATGCATTACGCTCGTGTTATGTGATTCGATGTTAATTTTAAGTACATATTAATTTATTGACTTTTTCATGAAAGGAAAAAGATCAATACATCTTATTTAATGATTAAAGACTTATCACTATAAATTTTTTATCAAATACTACTCTAAGTAATATTATAATTATTAATACAAATGGCTCAAATAATTTTCACATAATGTTTATAATCAATGATAGACTGAAGAGAAAGGATGAAAGATTTTTTCATTCTCAGGCTCTTTCTTAATTTAATATGCAGACATTCCAAAATAGTAATCGATAACAATTAATTCTTGGAGATTGTTCGAGGGTGAAAGAACAAATAAATGAGTAGAAAAATAGACTAATTAATTTTTTGGAGAATTATTCTAATTAAAGTAGTAGAAAAAAAAATGAAGTAAGGAAAATTGGAAATCTTGTAAGAATCTGGAAAGATGAGTCTGGAGGAATTGACCAAGAGTGTTCTACCGTCGGCTCTTATGAAAATTTTCCAAGTGGCCGTTGGAAAATGTATTCGAAAGAAAGCGTTACTAACGAGCGCTGAATTGTGTTAGATGGTACCAGGACATCCCTCTCACGGATGTCCGGAGAGAAAGGAGATGGTAAAAACGACTGTGTAAGAATGAAGAAGGAGAGGCAAAAGGGGGGTATTGAAGTAGTTGTGGTGGTTACAAGGTAGAAAAGAAAAGAGAAGACAAGAAAACTCATAGAAAACTTTTAAATTCTCTTCTCGGCAACGAAGCAACAATTTGTTTCGTTAAGTAGCCTACTCTTTTGTTTTCGCGGTTGTACTTTTTTTAATTGTTTCATGTAGGGAGTGAGAGGTTGAAAGGGAAATAAAATATAAAAAAAAATAAAATAATAGAAAGAGGGTGAAAACTAGCAATTCTTTATCTTTTTCTTCTTTTCTATTTCACTCAGCTCTGTTAAAAGCCGTCGCGAGCTCGAGAAGAAACTTTTGGAAAATCGCAAAAACGCACGGCACTGAAAGCCAGTGGCAAAGTTTCTACGTTTCCGCGGAGATTTAATTAAAACATTCACTTCTTTTCACTCACAGTATTTTTTTCAACAATTTTTATTAAATTTTTGCTCTGTTTTTCTTCAACTAAATAATTATTTTTTGCGTCTGAATATTTAATTTCTGCATTATTTAACGACCAAAATAACAAACAACTAAAAAATCAACATCTAAAAAAAAAAAAATTGAACATTAACTTTAACGAATAATTATCTTTAAAAGGGAAATAAAAGTAAATTCATATAATAAATTTGAAATATAATTTTTCCTTCAATTATACAGTAGGGGGTTTACTCTTGGATAAGTATTTTGAATATATCTGTTAGAATTCTGATGGAAGAAATGGTAGGACCTAAGAATCATTCATTTCTTATATTCCCATCTTTATTTCTCGTTTACTTCGACTGGAAATAAAAGCTAAAGGGTGGAACTAATATTCAACACCCTCCCTTACGAATCACCTATTTTTTAAGATGTGCAATCTATATATTATTATAGACATGTGTATTCACTTACATTTTGAATACACAATGGGACTCAATTATTTCATAAATAATACACGGAACAAATTTTTTTACTAAATGTAGTTGCAAAAAGTGCAAAGTCCACGTTTCGAAATTTAGAAGTAAAAATATTTCTAATTGATAGTAACTTTCAAGTTCTTGTAAGTAAACTTGATACTTAAGATATGTCTTAGTAAAGTAATTACTTAGGATAACTCAAAAATTTATTTATGGCAACCCAAAATTCACTGTTGAACAGAAATATTTTTACTTCTGAATTTCGAAACGTCCACTTGTCATTTTGGAACTTACATTTAGTAAAAAAAATCTCTTCATGTACTCATTCAAAAAAATAAAAAGTTTTGTGTTTTTAAACAATTTATTTCAACTCTATAGAATTAATTGATTTGGTTAATTTTAGATAAACAGTTTTTTTCTTATCATCCATGAATTATAGTGTATTTAAAGGATTTCTTTTTAATAATATTCATTGACATCTCTTGAGCTGAACCCCTATAGGAATTGTAACAAAAAAAATGTTATCAAAATACTAAATGTCAATGAGTTTTGTATGTAAAAAAAATAATAATAACTGTAACGATTGTAACAAAAAGGGGCTTTTTTCAACCCCCGCATTCACACCCTCTAGATACCACAGTTATACTCTGGCGTAAATTAAAATCCAATTATATCATCACCTCCAACCCTTTAGCATTTCCAGATCGGTTGTTTTTATGGGATTCAAATGAATTTTTTCTCTCATAAACTCTTATACTTGCTCTAACTATATACACTGACAAGCCAGAAATGGTGATGATGCTTTTCTAGACTTTCATAGCATGCTATCAAGACCAACCCTTTGCAGAAAAGATCAGTAACAGCTGCACGATCATTTGAAAGAACGTAAACCGGAATTTATATCAAAAAAAAATTTTTTTAATAAATATCAAATGAGGATGAAAAGGGGTGAGAACAATGTAAATTGGATAGGTTCTACTCATTGTCTCAGAACCCTCTATGAATATGTGTTAAGAAACATAGAGAATGCAAAAAAAAAGAAAAGATTAAGAATGAATTTCTCACGTAACCCTTTAGTTTTTTTTCTCTAGACAATCCTTCGGGAAGATTCCATTTGAAATAACGGTTAAATCATTTTAATTTAAACAATCATACACACACCTTTTACACTGATGATATTATGATATTAGCTCGAGGTAGAAATTATCTTTAATGTCTTTATCAGAACAATTTTTTTACTTCGATTAGTTTATTTCCACAAAAATTTGTTATTTATTAAAAAATTGACAGTCTTAATTCAAAATAAACTTTTCGATTAAAAATCGAAGCTTATGAATTCGTGTCTTATAGCCGTTACATACGGAAATAAAATAATAACGTCTTATGAGTCCTTCGTCTTTATTCCTCTTTTACTATATACCCCCCTAACTAATCTAACGTTTCTTTGAATTTTCAGTTATTTTCTATGATTCTTAGATCGCATGATCGACTTCAATTTTAATCTACATAATTACCTAAAATGCCATAAAAATAAATTTTCTCAATTTTCTTCAATTAGATACTTTTCGAAACTAATTAAATCAAGTTTTTTTAAGAGTCAAGTTTTGCAATTGTGTTGCTAAAACTCACCAATGAAAAATACGTTTCTGAACTCACATAAAATTTCTTCTTCTCTATTATTAACTATCGTGATTAACTCATTTTACAGATTGAAATAAAAAATGAATTAATCATTGTCAATAATTATATTTAAAATTATTTAATAAATTGAAATAAGTAAACAAATAAAATAGTAGTAAAACATAATCTTTGAAATATTTAGAAAATTTTAGTAATTGAATACCTAATGAAAGTGTCGATAAGAAAATGAATTATTATAAAATGCGTATTTATTTTAGCGTAATTTTTCAATTCCGTCATTAAAAATGATTGGTGAATTTTAACCATAACCTCGCCAACATTTATCTTATCATGGAGGCAAATGTCGGGGCGACGATCGCACTCTCTGGAGTCAACGAACGATAAAAAAAAAGGACAGTACAGCCGCACGCACAACACAAAGAATAAACTCTCCTCTATCACCTCTCTCCTCCTCCACTTCTTCTTCTGGTCTTCTTCTTCTAAGTGCGTTGCAAAACGCGAGCGTGTGGGCGAGTGTACATGCTCGCGGTCTTCCTGGGGTAGGTCACGGCAAAACCACGCGCTCAAGCAAGGCCCTCACTGGATTATTCAGCATGAGAAAGACAGAGATAACAAATCGTGTATACCGTTTCTATGGTGCCCGTGTAGACCGGTTACTTTGGATACTTTGCGGCCGCTCGATGCTTCGCGTTTTGCTTCCAATCATTAACCCAACACTTATATACACACTATCATTAAATTTAATATTCTATTTAATCGATTAAGTGCCCAATTTTCCTATTTTTTTTAACAATTTTTTTTTTCCTTTTAAATTAAAAACCATATTAAATTCATAATAAGTTTTTTTTTGTATCATTCTAACATCGATAAATTGAAAATTCTTGAAGTAAAATTTTTTCTAAATATTCAAGTGGTTTCTATTTTTTGAATTACTTCATTCTGAAAAGACTATTTTTAAATTAATATTTTATTCAATCGATTCATCTTCAATAAGTAAAGTGAAAAATGTTTAATAATAAGTTTGAAAATCATTCCAATACTTGTAACAGAAAGATGTAATTATGTTAATGATGTATTTCACACAGATCATAATTACTTATCACCAATGATTAATTTATGTACTGTTTTGTATTAAAAAGTAGTACAGTATCCATGAAATGTAATCAGTCTATAATTGAAAATTTCATTTGAGTAAACTGTGTGGAATGGTATGGTAAAAAGAATTAATTTCAAAGAGTTATTGAAGCTGAAGGGTAGTAATGATTATAGAAGGAATGATTAGCTGTAACAAGGATTATATTGACAGTAAATATTGGCTACAAAGTATCCATTTGAAGAGCTAAAAATAGTGATATTGCCAGCATCGTATTCCGAACGAAGTAAATAACTCGAATCGCGTGCGTTACGTGTGTCGGACACTCGACTCTGGTACATTGAAACTTGCAGAAATCTCTCTCTTGTG